AGGCCATTCCCAACTGACGCTCAAACACATCAAGCTTAATAAGAGGAGCGCTGCCCAAAACCACACCCCCAAATAAGAACCAGCCACACATTAAGAGCAACTCCACCAAACTCACACACCCAAAGAGGCAACCCAACTCATGTTGTTATTTGAAGACCTCCACACTCAAGACCTCCTCAATCATGTGATCACATAAATATAATATAATAATTAAATGAAAAAAATATGATTCTTCAACCTAGAAGAGGAATCCCAACAAAACATCCACCACATACCACATTTCCAGACAAACAAGAGAAAACACAATCGATATCCAGACTCAAGAACAAGCTCAAGCCAGCATTATTATACCAAGAAAGAACCCGATCCACAAAAAGCACCTCACCATCCAAAAAATATTAGTTACCAAAATAATAACCCCAAACCTAGAATTTGAGGTCCGAACAAAACATGATGTTTGGGAAGAAAATGTGAATTATGATGTATGGGGGAGCGAAATGATAAAACCAAAAACTTCAGAGAAGATTCAACACCAAAGATTAAAGTACACAATCAAGAAACTCACAAGGAATCTCACAAACAAAAAACATAATATAACAGAAAAAGACAACCGAACATCTGTGATCTATGCTAAACACTAGATACAATATAGACAGTAGGACAGCCAGCTTAGACATAGCCAAGTGGAACAGTTAGCCAGGATGACTATAGTATAGAAGTTTAGACTGAACTTGACATATAGCCCAGAACTCAGACTAAGAAAGACAAGTTGAGAGATGATAACATTGAAAACACAGGCCAAGGAGAAAGAATATAACAGAGAAACACATGGAAAATGTCTACATAGGAAAACAAATACTAAGTAGAAAGATCATAAGAAAAGACTTATATACAAGTAAGAAGATCAAAACAAAGTAAAGAGAGGACCGAATTATGCTATAATTATAGAATGAGAGAATTAGAAAATAAGTTTGCGAAATTTTAAAAAATAGACGACAAGTTATCCAAAAAAGAGCCCAGTGAGAGCAACCCCGGAATTTAAGTATGTTTCAAGAAAATCAAAAGCAGTCACAAACATAGCTGTTGGAAAAAGGCAAAACCAGTCAGCGAAACAGAATAATGCTAAGTAATTCAGAGAACATAATTACAAACAACAAGTCAACAAACAAAAGTAACAGTGTTATGATAGAGAACTTATTTGACAAACCACAGATATTCTATGAAAAAATGAAGAAGTTCAGAAGTATTACATACTAGGCACATTTCAAAGAACAAACTTTTGAGAAAATAAGATCATCAAGAAAAATAATCACCTCAGAATCAGAATCAATACTCATCAGTAGAAATGACGGTGAAAATATGGATAGAAGCATGAAAAGAGAAAGGACAAAAAGAAACTGAAAAAAAAAAAGGAACATACACACCAAAATACAATGAAATTAATACAATAAAGAAAAAAAAAAAAAAAAAAAAAAATGAATAAAAAAAAAAAAAAAAAAATTGTTAAAATATAAAAATAAATTCGAACAAGTTTAATAAAGAAAAAAGAAAAAAAAAAAAGCAAAGAGAAAAACGAGATTAGTGATTCTTATTGACCAACTTCGATACCCACTTTCGTGTGGATTGCCAAGTTCGACGACGATTTCTCGGCGGCTACCTTGAGTGAGAAGAGCATCACGCCTGTCAATTCTCCTACCCCACAGAGATATACAAGTCCACGACCACAGAGGAAACAGATAGAGGCACACAAGTCACCTTTTACAGATGATTTTAGTTCTGTTAGTATTTCCTCCAAACAAACCTCTGGACGCCAGGAGAGAACCGAGTCAGAAACCTCATTTGCCAGTTTTGATGATAATTTTGTGCCTCCTGCAGAAGGAGATAAATACTCAAACTACCAAGACTTTACAGGCAGTGGGCGAGTATCAAGGCAAGACTCACAGAGAAAGTCACCATTTGTAGATAATTTCATTGACTCCAAAGGAAAAGATCAGATTGAGGATAGTGGATTCACCTCAGGCTTTGGAGATAGCACAGACACCTTCGATGACCCTTTCACCAGTGTGGAGCCAAAATCAAGGAGTGCATCCAGAGGAAGTTCGGAGATGATGAAAGTTTCAATGGAAAGAGAAACCACTCTCCAGCCACCAGTTGACACGACAGTTACCAAAAGAAAAAGTCCATTTGATGATGACTTTACTAATCGTGGTGATCGTTACGAGGTGTTAAAGGAGGTTGAAAGTGAAAGAGAACCGTCTCTAGAAGGGGAAGTGAGTCGGCTGACAAGACAGGGAGATGCAAGGGGATCTCCCTTTGAGGACTCTTGGCATGGATCTCAGAGAAATACGCCTTTTGATGATCAAAAATCCATCGGTTCACTACATTCCATTCATGAAGAGCATCGAAACATTCCACAAGAGTCTCCATTTGAGGATGACTTCAACGGTGACTCGAGGAAGGCTTCAGTAGACCATGGAAGGCTTTCTCGGACAGGCTCAGA